AGGAGAGGTCTGCTGCACCATGTGGGTCACCTCCAGGGCAGGGATCGAATTCAGGCTGAAGTGGCTTAGCTTCTTAATGCTGTGCTTTAGTCTGCTGAGCCACCAGGGAGGGCCCATCATTCTGTTTTGTTTTGTTTTTAAGATTTACTTATTTATGCATATAAGAACTGGGGTACAGGCCAGAGGTGCAGGGGGTGAGAGGATTCATCAGAGACAAAGTGGGGACAGAACAGCTAGATTGACCAAAACACACAGCTGAGGGGAGAGGCAGGGAGACAGGAGAGGTCTGCTGTGCCATATGGGTCAGCTTCCTGGCTGGGGATCAAACTCGTGCTGCAGTGGCTTGGGATAACTCCATAGTGCTATGATTTTAGCCCATTTCACCATCAGGGAGGCCCTATTTTTATCATTCTTTATTCAAACCATGGGTCCATCCAAAATAATAATAATACTAGCATAATTTTCAATGTGCCTGTACTTGAATAGCTTGTTTGGAGGCCAAATTGAAAGAATTAACATTTATTTTATTAAATTTCCTCTTGCTCTGCTGTTTTTAGATCATCATTTAACCATTCAAGAGTCTTTGGGATCTGAGTTCTATCATTCTTACATTCATAGCTCCTCTTGTTTCCTCATCAAGAGCAGATCTAATCTGAAATATACTGTGAAGTCATGGGTGAATTTCCTGGAAAGGACAGGTTGTGGTCAGAAAGCATATGTACCCTGGAAACCTCAATCCAAGCTGACAGCCTTTTGTTTTATCAGCAGTAAAATTGTCACATGTAATATGTCCAGTTTTAGGCAGTGAAAACTAAAACTCTTTTGGTGCTAAGCATTCCAGTGCTGCATTAATCAATAACTTTTGCATAGTTATTATAGAAAATAGCTATTAAAATTAAAATTAAGGGCCTTGGTGGCACAAGGTTAAAGACATAACGCTATCAAGCTAACTCCAGCAACTGCAAGAATTCAACCCCAACCAGGGAGGTGACCCACATGGCACAACTGACCTCTCCTAATGTGCCTGCTGTTCCCTTCAGCAGTGTGTCTCAGTCCATCTTTCTGTTCTGCTCCCCACTCTGTCTCTGGTGATTACTCTCACCCCCCCCCCAAAAAAAACCCTCTGGCCTACACACAAGTTTTTGTATGCATAAATAAATAAATCTTTAAAAAATTAAATTAAACCATCAAGTTCAAATTTCATTGAATCCACATTTCTCTATTTGTGTACAAAGTTCTGAAGGACTTTGGCCAATGCCTTCTTTCTACTGCATTTCCCCCAAAGTATCAGACAAAAAACCCTCTCAAAGAAAATGCGGCTAATCTAATGAGACTTTTTAATGAGCACATCCTAATATACAGGGATCATACATTTACTCTTTTAATCCATTTACTCTTTTAACCTATCTCAGGCATTTCCAGATCCTCATTTTCATGAGCGCTATGCTAATGTTAAAGATTCAGAGATGGATACAATTCAGTAACTTCTCTGAAAGATTTTTCTATTTAATTACAATAAATAAAAGCCAATTCTTTCCTTTTCAATTAAAGTAATGAAAATCATGTGACAGACACCATGCCCTTTTTACTTAAGAACCACTCTTATCCCCTTCCACCCTCACCCTGCTGAACTACAGACACTGGAAGAGAAAAGACTCTCTTTCCCAAAATGCCCCGCCATGAAGTGTGACGACGTGACTTGGTTCTGAACAATGAGCTCAAAGCCATGTAACCAGATGGGGATTCTGGGAAAGTGTTTTATTAGAACAGGAAGACAATATGCCCCTTTAATCTTTTGTCCTTCATACTTAGACAATTCAATGCCTAGACAAAATAGCCATCTTGCGATCTCAAGACAAAAACCATTTACAAAGGATGGAAGCATCGGATGCAATTGACCTTGGTTCTCTATGACTTCCTCAAGCAGTTGCCTGCTGGGACAATTCACCCACTACAAGACTTTTTATTACAAGAGAAAATTAAACTTCAACTTGTTTCAGCCACTGTTGATTGAATTTATTATTTTATTTGCTTGCAACAAAATACATTTCTAACTTTTAGTTGGCACAGATGAATTCAGAAAAAAATAACGTATTGGTTGAAATATTTATAATAACCTAAATCAAATGAGATATTTGAACTATGCCCCATCACAATTTTATGAATAATTTTCAGTGTTAACTATGAAGGTAACGATATTCCTCTTTAACCAAATAATTCCATGTGTAGAAATGTATCTTAAGTAAAAGTCCCAAAATGGAATAGAACATAGAAATGGGTAGAATTTATAAAATTAGGTTTATTGGGGTTTTTTTGTTTAAGATTTGCTTACAATGATGAAGAAGGGTGATCTAAAAGATAAACAATAGAAAAAGAAGCATGCAAATTTTTCAATGTCTATAAAAGGAGTATATTGCAGACTGCCAAAGTAGAATTTACAGGTCGTATAAAAATACAAATTACTGATAATGTACTTAGTGAAAATACTAGGCTGTAAAGCTAAGTGATTTGATCATTTTGACTACATAAAAAAGGAATGCATGAAGAGGAAAATAAAAGGTTTTGAGATGTTTTGTAACTTTTAAATTATTTATAGCACTTATAACTGTAAATCAGCTAGAATTATGTATATTAATTTATTAAATACATTGTTCTTTCAAAAATATCTTTTTGTATCTCTAACAGAGACAGAGGTATCATAAACACTGGGTTTGAAATCACGGGAACTATAAACAATTATATATTTAATTTAAACAAATAGTATCACTACTTTAATTCAGGTAAGGAGTGAATTTTTATAATATTAGGAAAGTTCATTAAGATTAGAATGCTTCCTCTCCAAAAATGAAATTTGGAATCAGACAAATTAAGGAAATTTGGCTTTGCTTTTTTCACATATGAAAAAATTATTTTAAGGACCTCATCTATTTGCTTTTTTCACATATCATAGGCAATGAAATTATTTTAATTATTTTAAGGACCTCATCTAACTCTGATTACCATCCAAAGCCCCCACTTCATATAATGTTGTTTGTAAGGTCTTCATATCTGGATTTGGGGGAGACTCACATTTGATCCATCACACTTAATTTATACTCTCTATAAAAATTAACACAAAGTGGATCAAAGACCAAAATGTGAGGATGTGAAACTCTTAGGAGAAAACATAGGATAGAAAGCTTTATGACTCTGGATTTGGAAAAGATTTCCTAGCTGTAACGTCAAGGAAAATCAGTGCAAATAGACAAATTGGAATATATCAAATTGAAGGTTCCTACACATCAAGGGACATAATCAACAGAATGAAAGGCAACTTAAAGAGTGAGAGATAATATTTGCAGAATATAAATCTGCTAAGAGGTCACTATCCAGAATATATGAAGAACTCATAGAACAAATAATTTTTTTTTTAAGATTTATTTATTTATTCATACAGAACTGGGGTACAGGCCAGAGGCTCAGGGGCGGTGAGAGGCTTCACCAG